CTCTGTTTACATCCCCAGCTTTTCCCCACCGGTCAGTCTCCCATCCCCCAATGCAGACTATCCTAGCCACACTCCCCTGTCAGCATTCACAGACCACAGTAAGAACAGTCCCAGTTCGTCACAAAATGCATCTTAGAAAACTCAAGGAGCTGACTGAGAAGATATCTGAGCCATTAGCAATGATCTTTGAGAAGTCATGGAAGATAGGAGAGATTCCAGAAGACTGGAAAAGGGCAAATTAGTGCCCATCTATAAAAAGGGAAATAAGGACAACCCAGGGAATTACAGACCAGTCAGCTTAACTTCTGTACCCGGAAAGATAATGGGACAAATCATTAAGCAATCAATTTGCAAACGTCTAGAAGATAATAAGGTGATAAGTAACAGTCAGCCTGGATTTGTCAAGAACAAATCATGTCAAACCAACCTGAGAGCTTCCTTTGGCAGGGTAACCAGCCTTGTGGATAGGGTGGAAGCAGTAGACGTGGTATATCTTGACTTTAGTAAAGCTTTTGATACTGTCTCGCATGACTTTCTCATAAACAAACCAGGGAAATGCAACCTAGATGGAGCTTCTATAAGGTGGGTGCAAAAGTGGTTGGAAAACCGTTCCCAGAGACTAGTTATCAGTGGAAGGATATGCTGGAAGGACATAATGCTGGAAGGATATAATGAGTGGGGTCCCGCAGGGATCAGTTCTGGGTCCGGTTCTGTTCAATATTTTCATCAATGATTTACATAATGGCATACAGAGCACACTTATAAAGTTTGTGGATGATACCAAGCTGGGAGGGGTTGCAAGTGCTTTGGAGGATAGGATTAAAATTCAAAATGATCTGGACAAACTGGAGAAATGGTCTGAAGTCAATAGGATGAAATTCAATAAGGACAAATGCAAAGTACTGTATTTAGGAAGGAACAATCAGTTACACACATCCAAAATGGGCAATGACTGCCTAGGAAGGAGCACTGCAGAAAGGGATGTGGGGGTCATAGTGGATCACAAACTCAATATGAGTCAACAGTGTAATGCTGTTGAAAAAAAATCGAACGTCATTCTGGGCTGTATTAGTAGGAATGTTGTAAGCAAGACACAAGAAGTAATTCTTCCACTCTACTCCGCTTTGGTTAGGCCTCAACTGGAGTATTGTGTCCAGTTCTGGGCACCACATTTCAGGAAGGATGTGGACAAATTGGAGAGAGTCCAGGGAGAGCAACAAAAATGATTAAAAGTCTAGAAAACATGCCCAGGAGGGAAGATGGAAAAAATTGGGTTTGTTTAGTCTGGAAAAGAGAGACTGAGAGGGGACATGATAACAGTTTTCAAGTATGTAAAAGGTTGTTACAAGGAGGAGGAAGAAAAATTGTTTTTCTTAATCTCTGAGGATAGGACAAGAAGCAATAGGCTTAAATTGCAGCAAGGGCGGTTTAGGTTGGACATTAGGAAAAATTTCCTACCTGTCAGGGTGGTTAAACACTGGAATAAATGGCCTAGAGAGGCTGTGGAATCTCCATCACTGGAGATTTTTAAGAGCAGGTTGGGCAAACACCTGTCAGGGATGGTGTAGATAATCCTTAGTCCTGCCACGAGTGCAGGGCACTAGACTAGACGACCTCTCGAGGTCCCTTCCAGTTCTAGGACTCTGTGATGTACCTGCCCCCAATTTTTTGTGTCATCTGCAAATTTTATAATTTTGTTTTCTTCCAGGTCACTGATAAAAGTTAAATTGTGTAGGGCCAAGAACCAGTCCCTGCAGGGCCCCACTAGAAACACACATGCTCAGTGATGATTCCTCGCTTACAGTTACTGTTTGAGACTTAACGGTGAGCCAGTCTTTAATCCACTGAATATCGGTCATGTTGAATTTATATTGTTCTAGTTTCTTATTCAAAATCTTGTGCAGTACCAAGTCAAGTGCCATACAGAAGTCTAAGTATATTACATCAACACTATTACCTTTATCAACCACACTTCAGGATAATTAATTATTGGAACAACTTACCAAGAGCTCTGGTGGATTCTCCATCACTGGAAATGTTTAAATCAAGATTGAATGTTTTCTAAAAGCTCTGCTCTAGTTCAAACCGGAATTACTTCAGGGCAGTCTTATGGCCTATGCTATACAGGAGATCAGACTACAGGATCACTGTGGTCCCTTCTGGCCTTAGAATCTGTGCCCCATACCAGCCATTCTATTATGTTGTCCAGGATCAAAGTCAGGCTGACAGGCCTATAATTACCTGGGTCATCCCACTGACCCTTTTACAATAATGGCACAACGTTAGCTTTCTGCCAGTCCTTTGGAACGTCCCAGTGTTCCAACAGTTATTGAAAATCAGCATTAGCGGTCCAGAGAGCTCCTCAGCCAGCTCTTTTAAAACTCTTGAATGAAAATTATCTGGACCTGCTGATTTTAAAATGTCTGGCTTTAGTAGCTGCTGTTTCACATCCTCCTGAGATACTAGTGCAATAGAAAGAGTGTCATTATCATATGATATGACTCCATCATCAGTTATTTTCCCAAATACAGAACAGAAATATTTATTGAACATTTCTGCTTCATCTGCATTATTACTGACTATTCTATCACTTCTATCTAATAATGGAGCAATAGCATTGTTAGGCTTCCTTTTGTTCCTAATATACTTTAAAAAACCTCCTTCTTATTGTCCTTCTGCTGGCCATAGATTTTTCCTTTTGTCTTGTTGCTTCCCTTATCAATGTTCTGAAAATCCTAGCTTATATATAAAAACAACAAGGAGTCTGGTGGCACCTTAAAGACTAACAGATTTATTTGGGCATAAGCTTTTGTGGGTAAAAAACCTCTCTTCTTCCGATGCAATCCTAGCTTATATATATAATTTTTTATAGCTACTTTCACTTCCCCTCTAAGCCAGGTTGCTTTTTTAACCACTGTAGCCAACTTTCTGGATTGTGGCTTTTTGGGCATCTAGTAAAATCAGAGAATCACAGAAACATAGGGCTGGAAGGGACCTAGAGAGGTCACGTTCTTAAACAATTCCCAATGATTATTTACATTTTTCTGTTTAAATCTCCCAGTTGATTTGGCTCCCATTTGTTTTCAGCTTTCTGTAATGGGCCCTTTTAAAGCACCAAGTAGATATGTGACTGGTTTGGACTTTATTCTGTTTGCACATTGTGACGAAGTGGGACTGTTCTTAATGTTTCCTCTGAATGTGTGGGTGCCTCAGTTTCTGGCCGACCCTCTATCGTCTAGCAACTAATGGCCAGGTCCTTCTCCCCTGCAAGGGGATGCTAAAGGTGTGGGAGAACAAAGAGGTCAGGTGACCTCCTGGCCCAGGAAAGGGACAAAGGCCAGAGGAGGAGGGGCTGGAGGGGGTTTCAGTTTGGAGCTGGCTGGGGACTAGGAGTGAGGGCAGACGGGGGTGTCTGCCTCACTGGGCCCCAGAATGGACCTGGCTGAGGGATCCGGTTCTCTGGACCTACAAGCTCTGTTTTAGACCGTGTTCCTGTCATCTAATAAACCTCTGTTTTACTGGCTGGCTGAGAGTCACGTCTGACTGCGAAGTGGGGGTGCGTGCAGGACCCTCTGGCTCCCCCAGGACCCCGCCGGGGCGGACTCGCTGTGGGAAGCGCACGGAGGGGCATATGCTGAATGCTCCAAGGTCAGACCCAGGAGGTGAAGCCGTGTGAGCTCCTTGCCCTGAAGACAGTCTGCTCCGAGGGAGAGGAGCCTCCCCAGAGTCCTGACTGGCTTTGTGGGGAGCAGTCCCAGAGCATCGCCCGGGGACTCCGTGACACACATAACAAGTGCAATCAAGTCATGATCACTTCTACCTAAAATGTCACCAATTTTTAATTCTGTGATCAGTGTCTCTGTCACAACAAGGTCTAACATGGAATTCCCCCGTGGTGGATACAGCACGTTTTGAGTTAGGAAATTGTCATCTAGAATATTTAGTCATTCCAAGGATGTTTTAGTCCGGGCAGCATGAGACCCCCAGCGTGTGTCACTGAGGGTCAAGCCTCCCTGCCCCCTACCCACTCAGCTTTTCCCCTGCACGTTACCCATAGGAGTGCAAGGAGCTGCTCCTCCCGCTCCCTGTGGAATTTGGTTGGGACACCCACTAGTGATCAGCCTGTGCTTTGTGTTTTAGAACAGAAGATGGGAGTTGACTTACCAAGTGAGAGGTCAGTCTAACGAGACAATTCAATTAACAGTAGGATACCCAGGGAGGAAAAATAACTTTTGTAGTGGTAATGAAAGTGGCCCATTTCAAACAGTTGACAAGAAGGTGTGAGTAACAGTAGGGGGAAATTAGTATTGGGGAAATTAGGTTTAGGTTTTGTAATGACCCAACCACCCCCAGTCTTTATTCAGGCCTAATGTGATGGTGTCCAGTTTGCAAATTCATTCCAGTTCTGCAGTTTGGAGTCTGTTTTTGAAGTTTTTTTGTTGAAGAATTGCCACTTTTAGGTCTGTTATTGAGTGACCAAGGAGATTGAAGTGTTCTCCTACTGGTTTAAAAGGCTGACAAAGGAGGTGCTGGCACCATCATGAATAGGTTGGAATATGAACGAGAGGCTGCTAGACAACTCTCTAACACCACATTCTACAGGCCATTACCCTCTGACCCCACTGAGGGTTACCAAATAAATAAAATAGAACTAGAACGGACTTTGAAAGATCATTGAATCCATTGCCTTCACAGCAGGACCAAGTACTGTCCTTGACAGATTTTGCCTCCGATCCTTAAATAGCCCCGGTGCCAACTCTGTCCACATATCTATTCCAGGGACACCGTCATAGGACCTAACCAGCACAATCTACTGATCACCGAAAGCACCACCTGGTCCTTTCTCACTGGTCCCCCATCCACTGCGTGGCCCGACCACCCTCTGCTTATCTTACAGAGGGCAGCAGGCTCCCATCACCTCCCTGTACAGAAGCAAGACCTCAGCCCAGTCCCCTCACCACAGAGCGCTCTGTTAACCGCTGGCTGGAGAGGAGGGATTGCAAGTCCCAGGGGTCCGACTAATAGCAATGGAGTAAATCACAGCAAAGAGCAATAAAATGTTTTCCCTCCAGTGATCTCTCTCAGTGTGAGCAGAGCTGGCAAGCCCAGGCCCCGAATCCCCAGCCTCACCCGCTCCTGGTGGGCCCCTCCAGCTAATCTCAGCTCCCAGATAGTGAAGCTGCAGCAGAAGACAGATGATGGGGAGGGAATGTGTGTGTGTGACTAGGAGCTTTCGGATGGAACAGGAGGGGAGTGAGGACAAGAGATGCTGTGTCCAGGGAGGATGAGAGCAGAACAACAAAGTGCAAAGAGGGGAAAGAGCTGGACAGACCAAGGGACAGAGAGCAAAGGGGCTGAGCGTGTGGACACTGCAACGACAGAGCTATAGACAGATGGACAGAGACCCACAGCACCTGTGCTAGTGAACTGGGATCCACTGACCTGTCACCGAGATGTTGTAGAAGACGGAGTCGCCGCCCGCGTCGCACACAAACTCCCCTGTGTCCTGCGGCCGAGCCGAGGGGATGACGAGCCTGCGATGGGACCCCTCGTGTTCCAGGAGCAGGTGCTCGCCCTCCTCCACCTCCACCCCATCCTTGTACCACTGCACCGGGCCGTCGGCACGGGACAGCTCGCACGCCAGCACCACGCGCTCCGAGGCCAGGTAGGTGTGTGCGGCGTCCTCGTTAGAGCTGACGATCCTCACAGGCGGCTCTGGGCGGGGAGACAGGACAGGCTCAGCACAGAGGCTGCCGGCTGGGCTGGGCTGGATCACTCACAGCCAGCCGCCCCACCCATTCCTCGGTACTGGGAGGCTATTGCTCATGATTACAAGGGGCTTCCAGTGCCCATCGACTGAGGGGAACCAGAGCACACTTGGGTCAGCTGTGCCTTGTCTAGTGGGGCTGGGGGGCTCCCGCAGCTGGGTGGGGGCAGCCGATGAGCTCTGCCCTGCTGAACAGCCATGCCCAGGCAGGCATATCGCACCACGCCTGAGCGGCTAGCGAGAGCTCACCACGCAGGACGTCATGCGCAGTTCCTACCGAGCGCTAAGCACGAGCCGAGTGTCACAATTACTGCATGGGCACTACTTGAAGAGATGTGTAAAATGTAACATACGATGTTCCAGACCTGCTGGAGATGCAGCAAGTCACCTGCGGTGGCTGGGGATCAGCTAACTCGGTCAAGAGTGAAAACAACTGACAACTTTCGTCCCAGCCCAGCCCTGGGTTTACAGGCTGGGCCAGATACAGGCCGAACATTTACAAAGACAAAAGAGCTGCAGGAAAAGCCTCTGAATGGAAACGCCTGGCTTATGGAAAGAGACAAACGATCTGGGGCTGTGTACGAGGAGACAAGGCACAACATCTTCCCCATCCAGAGGAGGTACCCTCCCTCCCGGCAGACGTGTCTCAGGAGAGGCAGATCCCAGCTCAGTGGACTGGCCCAGTGCTGGACGGGCTGACCATGGGGTGAGACAGGAAAAAACTTGTCAGTAAGTCCAGGCTCTGATAGCCTGCACCCCATGTGTGCTGCCAGCAGCCTTGGGAGATCATCCCCCGTGGGATTCACCCCGGACAGCGTCACAGGGGGCAGCCGCCGGTCACTTGGCCTCTGCTTACCACCCAGCAGCCCAGAAGCCTCCCCCAGGGCCATGGACAGAATCCAGCCATGGCAGCACCAGAGGATTTGATTTCAGTGGCCAGAGGAGCCTGTGAAGGCCAGAGAAGGCAGGTCTGTGGGGGAGAGGCAGTGAGGAAGGGAGGCTGAGGGAGGGGTGGGTGGGGCAGGAGGGGAGAAAGGGGTCTCAGGGCCACACATCTGCCCTGGGCCTGCTGGGATGTGACGGGAAGTTCCAGCTCTAATGCCCTGAGCCTGTGTCTGCGAGGAACCTGCAGGAGGGGCAGAGGCACAGGGCTCCTGTGGGCGAGCCCCCAGCTCACCGGTCACGGTCACCGTGAAGCTCAGCGCATCCTCGCCCGCGTCACACGTGTACGTCCCGGAGTCTGAGGGGCGGGCAGAGCGGATAAACAGCCTCCTGGCGCAGCCCTCTGCCTGCAGGGCGACGACGTCGTCGGAGGGCACAGCCTCCCCGTCCTTGAGCCAGCGCACAGGGGTGTCGGGCGTGGAGACCTCGCACTCCAGGAGCAGGGGCAGCCCTGCCAGGAGCTCCCGGCAGCGCTGGGCCTCGGGCACCGGGGCGATGCGCACCTGCGGGGCTGAGAGAGTCACCCTGAATGAGCAGAGAGTGGAGGCGAGTCCTCGCTCTCACAGGGCAGCCAGGACAATGCCCCGGGTCCCAGCAGGCCAGGATCAGGCTCTGCAGGCCAGCGTATGCCGCCAGGCACCCCACGCAGGCCAGCTCAGCCCATCCCACCGCAGGCCAGGCTGCCAGATGGCCAGGAGCTGCTCTCCCCTGCATCCGTCAGCGGAGCAGCCCCTGGAGATTGCAGCTCCCAGCGTGCAATGCTCCACCCCTACCACAGAGCACAGCCTGCTGCGGACCTGGGGCTCGCTCTCTCCGCGACGTCTCACCTGCTGCACCTTCACACTGGAGCCCAGCGCAGGTGAGAACCTGCTGCCATCCCAGGGAACCCAGCGCAGCCTCTCCCTGGCCGAACCAGCGTTCCCTCCTGTGGGCTCAGCGCAGGGAGACGCCCTGGCCCTGAGCAAGCAGCACAGGCTCTGTGGGGAGGGAGAGGGCTCCCCCAGGCCAGGGCAGCAACAGGAGCTCTGTCAGAGGCCTCTGGGTGTTGAAGAGGCTGCAGTGAAGGAAAGTTTAGCACCCGAGGGGGCGTGGGGCAATGCAGGGAAATTCAGGATGCTAACAGCCTGAGAGGAAAAGCCCCGAGAGGCAGCCCATGTTAAGGTGCAGGCTCTGGCACTCAGAGAGAACCAAAGTCCTGCCCCTTGTGGCATTTAACAATCCCAGGACCCTTTCCCTGTGAGTTGGGGCACTATCCCTGTGTCCTAGCCAAATGTCCCCAAAACAGCTGCCACCACCCAGGCCAGAGGGGGCTGCATTACATTACTGGGTGAAGTGGTCCCTGCCTATCCCTCCCCAACCTCCCGCAGGCTGGGAGGATTATTTGGCCTTTGCCAAGGACTCTGAGCTGCTGGGAGGGCAGGCGTGTGGGAAGGGCAGGCCCTTGTTGAACTCTTGTGTTTATGCTGCCTGGTTCATCCCCTCAGCTCAGTGATCTCAGTTGGTATCCCAGGAGGGTGGTCTGGAGCCTGGGTGTAGCGCCCCCCGCCCCCAGTTTGGGGACTGATCCGCAGCAGGAGAGCACGTACCTTGCACCCGCAGAGTGGCGGAGTCCCGCACACCACTGGACTCAAACTTGACCTTGGCCCCGCTCTCCGCCAGCCGCACACCACGGAGCAGCAGGGAGTGCTCGGTCCCGCTGCGCTTTATGCAGTAGCGCTGGCCTTCCTCTCCCTCCTCCAGCTTCGCCCCGTTCAGGAACCAGCTCCCTGCCACGGAGGCCGAGAGCTCCAGGGAGAACAGGGCATCCTGACCCGCCTGCACCTGCACGTCCTTCAGGGCTCTCCGCACGCAGGCTACCGGGACTAGAGCACAGTGCAGGGTCCTCAGCCAGAGACGGGCAACAGCTCGGGCAGAGCTCTGGCCCCCTTCTTGGATATGGCTGCCCTTCAGCCACTGGCCATGGGCCACGTTACCCACGTCCCCTCACCCCTCTGAGCTGGCCGCTAGCACGCCGGGTGCGGGACCAGGGGGCTGCCCTCCAGCCATGGGCCAGCTCCCCAGGGCAGTGCCCTTCAGCTGGTGGGCCTGGGCATGGCCACGTCCCAGTCTGTGTTGGGAAGAAGAGGGCACTGTACCGGCGCTGGACTCAGCCAATCAGTGCCCCACACAAGCCAACGCAGGCTGTAATTCCCAGGATCCTGGCACCCAGCCGTGTCTGGCAGGGCTCAGGCGGGAGCAGGGCCTGGAGGGAGTGAGATCAGGAAGGGAACGGGCCCCAGAGGGCTGTGGTACGTACCAAGGTGCACAGAACCAGGGAATTCCACGGGCCTGCTCCTCCCGTACTTGTTCACAGCACAGATGCGGAAGCAGTAGTCTGCCTCAGCGGGCACGCTATCCCCGAGCACCTCCACCATGCTGGCCAGGTCCGTGGTAAGGCACTGCACCCACTCGGCCGTGCTGGCCTCCTGCCGCTCCAGGACGTAGCTGCTGGGGGGGGTCCTGTGCACATCAGGCCCGGGGCACCAGGTCAGGAGGGCAGCGTTGCTGCGGTCCGTGCTCATCTCGGCGGCCACGGGCGCACTCGGGGGAACACGCTTTGCACCTAACACAAACCCCACACCCGGTTAGCTCCCTGCTCTGAGATGTCGACCGAACAGGTGAGCAGCCAGCTGAGACGTGGGGCCTTCCCGTCTGGGGGCTGCCAGACGCAATCCCCAGTTCAGGGGCTGCCTGGTATCAGGGGACCGGGAATGGGATACAACGCTGTCCCCTCTGGGGGCACCGGCTCCAACCCAGCTCCAGGGGACGGATACGCTGCTCTGGACACATGGATTATTCACGTCCCAGATGACTGGAAAAAGGCTAATGTAGTGCCCATCTTT